GGGAAAAAAAAAGTACCGACGATAAATTAATACGTGCGCCTGAATTTTAAGCAAAAGTAAAATGAAGTATCTGATAGGCTGCACTATGTTACATACTGTAGGGATCGATAAAGTAATGCAAAATCTACTTCATATTGTTTCGTAACGTATGGAAAGTAACGGATTTTGAAGAATTACTCTAATCCTCCAAAAGCCGAGTAAGAAAATAAATAAATACATTTTCTGCGCAATTTAATACACTATATCAAGGGATTGTAAGTTAAAAAATGTTCTTCTACCAGCACAAAAATTATTACATACAAAAAATTTCGAATACAAACAAAAAATGTTTATATTCGAAATTATTGCTGATGAGAATACAGATAATGGTATAAACAGGGTGAAACAGATTGAGGGTGTGAGAGACATTTTGAACGGAAATGAGCGGGATATGAAACAAGGAAGAGTTGCTGGGGAATTCCCTGGAGAGAAAAAGCGTTATCTTTGACCAAGTCCCCTGACTGATATAATTATAGCGATCAAGCGAAACGTGTGTCACTGGCAAAAACAGTTCTGAATCTGACTCCTAAGAACGAACATAAAGTTGCTGGTGACACTCCCCCCCCGGTATTTGGTTACATTAGTGGGTACTGTGCGATAGTACAGGGCGTGCTTGAGTAGTTCATCTCAGTATTTCATTCTATTACGCTTGCTGTCACTTAACGCATATAAATTTCCCTTCCTGCGAAGATAATGAACTGTGACTATTTATAACAAAACACTAGATACGATGGCGTGACGAGAAATTTACGCGTTCCTAAGCAAGTTCTCGTAAATTTATTGCCCTTCTTAAACTAAAAGATTTCCACATGTGAGTGAGAAAATTTTTCTTGAATGTCTCATGAGTTTGTATCTCAGGGAATAGAGTATTGAAAGGTCTTACTTATTGTTATAGTAAAACATTACGAATTCTAGTTTTTTTTTTTTTTTAAATATTGTGGTTCAGTTTTATAAAAACAAGTAACAGAGCTCATCTTATTTAGGGCTCCGGTGCGTTTCGGCTAGAATTGTAATGTAACTCAAAAACTGAGAAGTACCGAAACCGGCGCAATTTAAGTCCTGCGGCCCTTCCAACGCTCCTGATGAGTTTCCGCTCAGCTCTCAAAGAGGATCAAGGGGCAACCACTTCTGAACTTGTGTACTGAAAGACTATTCATCTCCCAGAAGAATTTTTTGATCCGACATCTACGGACGCATTCTCCAAACAGTTCGTGAAGGACTTAAAATCCAACTTTGCCAGCATCCGCCCGACCACAACTTCCAGACCCGTTTCGTTCATCCTCGACTTAACGAGTCCACGCATGTGTTTGTTCGACTTGACGGATTTAGAAACAAAACCCCCTGAAGATAACAGGTGGCTATTTCAGGGGCTTTGGTTAAAAAGCCAAGCTCCTTACGAATGGACCATTTTAAAGTGCTAGCAAAGGAGATAAAACATTTGATCTCGAAATAAAAGGGATTAAGCAAACAATCTCCATAGATAGACTAAAACTCGCTTTTATAACCATGGATTCTTCTCAAGTTATTTCCCACTGTTCGGAAAAACCCTCAGACATTTGTACCACGCGTTCTGGACGATTCATCCGATTCTAGCATCGCTATATCACATTTTGTTGGCATTGCGGAGGGAGTATCAGTGGCATCGCCAAACAGGCGATACGAACTCAAAACTGGATAGAAAAACCGCCAACTGGCGAAAGACAATCTTAAGCCTGTATGGCAACATTACAGGCTGACGGAGAGGTGTAAGTTCCCCGCCTCTGCAGTCTGTTAATCCCGGTATCCGTGTATTTGTTGGGTCGTTCTCTGTCCTTTTCAGGTCGTTATAGAGTCGGCAACTATCTTGTTTTTTTATTATTAAATTAGATTAATAATTGTCTGTCTTAATTAAGATTGCTGTTTGTCCATATAATTCTATCGATCTTCTCTTAGGCCTGTGATACCCACACATACCTCAAAAATAAATTTTAGCTAGCTATCATTGGTTAGCATTAAATCATTAAGAACCCGCACACACACAAACAAAAAATTTTTATATTCGAAACAGCCTTTAAATATTATTATTGTTCAAGGACCCGCCCCCCTTTTTTAGAACAGAGTATGTTTTTACATAAACAAAAGAATTAGAATAATCAGTTTAATAAAAGTGAAATTGCGATACGAACATTCGATCGTTATAGAGATCGAATGAAACAGTCAAATTTAGAAAGTTCAAAATTTAATGTAGAAATCATCCGCAACTACTCTGGATTCGATAGCCAAGGTCTGTTCTATTTAATTACGGTAAAGCACTTGAGGGACTCCTACAGGAAGAGATGTCTTCATGGAGGATTTTCTAAGAGCAACTGGATCATTATCTAAGTGACAGAAGGGAAAACTGCGAAAATGAATATGCAGCCAGCCTGTTCGCATAAGAATCAAACCCGGGTCAAACTACCAGTGTTCAGAGACTTATAAGCCGCTCTGCTTATAGGCCTCAATAGTCAAGAAGGGCGCACTCTGTATTAAATAAATCAAAGGAGACTTTTTGTATCCTAAAATGAATTTTCCTGTGTAGCGTATTATCATTATGTGCTTAAAATTCTACATTAGTATGTATTTGTCGAGACCTAAATTTATTAGTAATATAATAAATAACTATTACTTACTGTTATATTAGAATTTATCAAAATCCTTCTTGTAAAATAATTTTAAAAAATTTAACGGTTGTCCTAAACTGTGCACACATTACTAATTTTATATTAACCTGCATTTTAACAACTCTACTTCTACACTTTCCACCAACTGCACAAAAATTATACATTAAGTATATTTTAACGAATGATAATCTAAACTCAATGACATTTTATCCATTAATGCTGTATCCCTCATATTTTTCCAGATTGGATAGGCTGGTTTTCGGCGAGTTCTTTGTTTTGATAGATTAAAGATCTGCATTTAGAAACCACCCATAAATTACGCTGATTGGCCATTTAAAAATTTATGACATATCACACAGGGGTTATCTGCCTAAGGCGATGAATGCTTTTATGGAAGGGAAAATTTTTTTAAGGGAAAGTGGCTCAAATTCACGCAATACATAGGAAGAATCTCGAAAACGAACCATGCAGTCATCTCATTTGCTCGGTCGGACTCCAGGGACTATTCAGCCCTTTTTTAACCGCTTGGCCACTAGCAGAACCTCTTAAATCAGGAGGACCTACTAGTAGCCGGGTAATTCTTTTAAATTAATTAGGTAATTAAAATTTAATTCACTATTTGATTTGCAAGTATTTAAAATAGTATTATATTCACAGGCACAAAAAGAGTTTAGTTTTTAAACTAGCTAGCCGTGTAATGTGCAAATGAACGTTTATTTGCTGTTCCTGGAATTTAAGTTAAAACGAGATGATTATCTTCCTGCGTTATTCACTTTGGGAAAATTTAACACGTTTTTAGATTAAGTTATATTAGGTTTATCTGAAAATCTGACTTTTGAATGACTGAGAGAATTAAATAGATGTTTTCAATCCGAAGTTGTTTAGTTGGGAATCATTATCCAAAATGAGTTGTATCGCATGCACAATAATGCATCATCTCACTAATCAAAGTCACATAGAACAGTCGCTTTGCCCCGGAAATAAGTATTGTGTACTCGGTAATTCCGCGTATTCTGCACATATGTATCTTTACGATTATTCTCCCTTCCTGAAAAAAAAAAAAAAAAAAAAAAGTCCTTTTCAAAAGTTTTTTCTAACATAGAAGAGATTAAAGGAAAGCGACCTCCTACTCTTATAACCGTGCCAAAAACAGATCTCTACAAGCTTTATTTTTTATTAGCTGTCGTAATTACATTAGGACAGAAGGTTGCCTCACGTTAAACTCTGTAACACTTCTGTTTTTTTTTTAATACACAGATTACTGAATTAGCATACTGTGAATATACACTGAATCTGTGAATGAATAAACTTTGATTATTTCATTTAGCACAAATTTTGAAGGAATATTCTCAACTAGGAATTAGAAGGTACGTCAAAGTGAATATCGAAACACACTATTTGAAACAGGAACTAAATCAAAGTCAAATTTTTAATATTTGTATTTTTAGCGTGTTCCTCCAATTTTGCCTCATTGAAAGCAAACGAGAAGGTAGTGCATTCTGGCAGGTAGAAAGAGTCACAAAAATTGAAAAATTAAGTTAATAAGAATTTTGAAAGTGTCATGGAGGACCAGGCTGGAATTAAAGTCGTTAACTAAACAAGATAAATCTTTCTGAATAGGAATAGCTTCAAGAAAATCTTATTTATACGATGAAAGAAGCTTTTCGGGTAATTTTTGTACATCCAAAGTAAGGATTAAATTTCCAACTATGATTAGCTATCGAAGACTTGTTAATTTCGCCTTTACAGACTTTTCATTGGTGTGAAACTTTAATGCTCTTTTAGTTTGGCAGATAAACAACACTGACAAGATATACTATGAATTTCATATGAAAGAGTCAAAAATTGAATTTTTAAGAATAAAACCATGGGTTTTATTGACAGGTGAGAAAATGACTTGAAAATCAAGATTCTGACCAGCATTTCTTAGCACTGGCCCTCTTCATATATGATTTTTGTGATAATTAAAAATTTGAATAAAATAACTGATGCAAAATTAATGTAGCCATCTATTTTTAATTTTAACTGAACTTCGAGTCAAGATAAAAAAGGATTTAACAGAATAAATCAATTTTGAAGCAATGGCATTGAAATTTTGGAATTTATTATAAAATATTTATAAGTAAATATCTTTAAAGATTTCATTAAAAATTATGTTTTATGAATCAACTGAAACTTTACTGTTTAAAATAAGTTTGTTTTAATAATATTTTTTTATCAAATAGCTTACAGATATACCAATAACAATTACATCACTTTTAAGACACACAACAGAGACAACAGAAAATTGAAGACTAAATGCTATGAAATAAATTAAAGAAGTTCGTTTACACTAAACAGATTTATTCATAATCACCTATATATAATGTACATATAATTCAGACCATGTATCCCAAAATCATTTCCAACATAATCCATAAAAGTTACAACCTATTTATAAAACAATAAAGAAAACCAAACTTTCACAATGACTGTTATAAAAAATGTAATAATCAAAACTATAAAATTTTAAAATGTAACAAACCTTGATGACTTGTGTGTCTCTTACTGAATAAAAAAGGGGGGAAAGCAAGAGACATTTTCAAATTAATTATTTATCATACAAAAATACAACTTCAATATAACTGCATCAATTACTTCTTAAAACACAGCTACATCCTGACCTGCAGGATGACAAAACAAATACACACACTGTACAAAGTACACATTTCAAGTACATCCAAACAAGCAGTATATACAAATAACTTGAAAATTCAGACTTCACACCGAATTCATAGTCAGATCAATAATATCACAATGAAAAAAAGCTGAGAAATGCTTGAGGAGGTATAGGGATATACAGCGGAACAGTGTTGACAAGGCTCTCATTTTCTTCGTTCATGAATTCCATACCACTAGGAATACTACGTCTTAAATCAACACAGGGATGTCCAAATGACTATAAAAGAAAAAATAGAACACAAATTTCATTATTATAACAAACAGGGTATCCAATAAACTTAAATATATTTTTTTAAATCCTATAAAATCAGCAGTTTGGCTTACCAGGGTGTACATCTAAAGATGTAACAAAGAATTTTTATCAGATTTAGCCAAGTATTACAGCTGAATTGTTTTTCAAATCATATTATATCATTGAAATTTCCATTGATAAATAGTATCACTAGAAATATGCTACATACAAAACGTGAAAATTTATAATTACACAGCATTTATTCGTTAGTATTCAAGAGTAATTACAATGATACTAATAATGCTAACAGGCTATCACTAGCAAATTATATTTCAAAAAATTTAAATTTGCACATTTGGTGATATCAATAAGACAGTATCATCTATCAATTAAAATGATCTTAAATGTGCATATGTATTAAAAAAAAAACTTCTGCAGTAAGTGTTTTTAAATGCAAGCTGCACTTCCCAATGTGCCAATTTACTGCTTTTATAGTATTTTTATATAACTTTTTCAATGTATCCATATTTAAGTGACTTTTTGTTCACACACATATACATACATAAGTTGCTTCAATTTTGGTAAGTGAATTTCCAGAAAACAAAATTTGATCAAATTAAACAAAATGCCATGCCTTTACATATGTATCTGTAGTTCATTATGTTTCAAAAAGTTTTTTAAAGTAAACACAAACATTATTTATACATTATTAAACAAGCATAAAGTTACAACAGGTTATAACATGGCAATGTACTGCAGCCAAACTGTACTGAGTATTGTATTTCATAATTCTGAAGCTAAGCACACTCACTGACACATGCATATTTTGGATTGATGTTTTATTGCTCATGCAATTTTTTGAAGGAAAACATACTATTTGTTTATTTTTGTCAACTTTTCAAACTATACATAATTACAGCATTTTCTTCTTTGATCTATACTCTTGCAGATTAGGCTAAAATGTCATGATTCCCTGCTTTCATGTAAATGAAGGCAAGAAATTACACTGTAAATTCACAATGCAGTACAGTATATTTTATACAGTCAAAAGTCGTTAATTCGGACACCCATAATCCGGACCTCAAAGCTACAAACTTTCTGCGCGTGCGTCACGTTCACGCATGCGCACAGGCATTTAAGAGTGCGCGTAAGACCTTTATGGCTGCGAATATGTTTGTGCGCATGCGCGTTTAATGTGTAACGGACGTTATAAGCTAAGCTAAAATTATCTAATTCAGTTAATGTTGCAGATTGCATTGTTCCTTAATCTTCGAATTGGATCCGGCTTATTATTTTTGCAGACTGTTAGAGCAGTTTCATAAAAGTAAGCTTGAACTTTCGATTACGTCAAATAGAATTTCTGATATATATTTACTAATATGTAATTTGTATCTACAAAGCAAAAGTATGTTTTGAAATCTGAAATCCGTTTATCAATTTCACGCTGCGGATTGGAAGTTGATCTGTCAGCACTATCCTTATCTTCAGGGCAGATGTTTTTATTTTATTTGGCTTATAATTCCTTACTAAATGTAGTTTTTCATCTCGATGTACTCTGTCTTTGATACGATTTAAATCAAGTTTCTCGTCATTATAATTCGCTTCCGATAGTGAAGAAAGTGACCCAGAGGTTATTGAAAACGAAAACTTTTCGATTGACAAATTAGTCGGCATTCTCAACACAGCAATTATAGGACTTGAACAGCGGAACTTTGTAACTAAACAAGAAATTATGTCTGTTTAATAGAATTAAAGAGAAGTAAAGTATTATCACATGAAACGATGCAACTTACACTGAAAGAAATGCTTAATAAAGTAAACAAATAAATATTAGGCTTTTTCTTTTTGTAACTTTTGATACCCTTTAGATCATAATTGTTCTTTATTTCATAAATTACGGTTTCATATTTTTAATTTTGTAATTTCTGCATGCCATCTTACCAGATTTAAACTGATGATCTATAAACCGGAAAAATCGATAATCCGGAATCGCCAAAGTCCCGACGAGTCCGGATTAATGACTTTTGACTGTAATAGCTATACTAACATATGAAAGGTACATTACTGTTTTCATAAATAGTATATAAAATTCTATCCTTATCAGAAATAGGTGTCACTAGATGTTACTAGCAATATGTAAGTCTTCAGATCTGCTTATCTTCTATGTTATACTATAAGTGCATCGCTAATTAGCATAAAGACGGGAATAACTAATTTTAAAACAATCTGAACTAAATTTTTTAATACATCTTACCAGAAGTGTAATTTATAAAATATGTTCCTAATATGCTAACGTCAAATGTAAAATTTCTGATTCTGCTTCTTGCACCTCCAAAATAAAATCTAATGGCTATGACAAAATTTTATAGCAATATATAAAATGCAATTACCTTCTGTTTTTCTTTACTTAAATGGTTGACATACTTCTGAATATTTTGATACTTTACCATTCTCAAATGTTGGCTTCACGTTTGAATTTTGCATTCAAACAATAAACACATGTGAAGTTTCTATAATCATAGATTTTTTAAAAATTAAGTCTTAATTTTATCTAGCAGTAAAAAAATTACATTTATCGGTTGAAAAGAGTGGGAATTAACTTTTGTTAAAAGGAGAAATGAGATATCTATATAATTAAAAAAATTAATACTGCAGTGATGTGTTACTGGTAAAATCATGCCTAATCATGAACACCAGAAACACGGCAGCATACTTTTACAAACCACCAATGCATACATTTTCCTTATTCATTAATGATATTATAAAAACATGCTGCCCATCAGTATAAACAGTGTATTATATAACATGTTACTCGATCTGTCATTAATAACAGTTTGAAATAGGCACTATTTATAGTAAAAGTATGATAAATAAAATACATTTCTAAAACCTTGTAACACACATAATTGTCCCGATTTGGGAAGCTAATAAAATCCGAAACAAATAAGATATAACTGCCTGAGTTATTATTATCCAAAATAAAACCCAACACAGATGATGAAATTTTGAAGCAACATTAAGACCGCCATTCCCTCCCTCTGTGCACCTCTTTTGCTTTTAAATTTTATAAATATAGAAATATGCTTGATTTTAAAATTTTCTTAATACAGAAATATTTTGTTTATATCATTTCATAATTAAAAAAAAAAAGAAAGAAAAAAAAAGTTTTAAAAAATTTAAAAATGAAAAGTATTTTTTGGGGGCAAAGGGGTGCACGAATGTTTCTTTTGTTTACATTTTGATTTTAATACTAAACTTCTCTTAGGTCATGGATGGGCAAACTTCTTCGATCGCAAGCCAAAAATTTAAAAAAAAAAAAAAGTTTGGCAGGCCAAGATAAATTTTTCTAAAATTTTAAAAGCAATATACAAGTATTATAATTTAAATATGTTAATGAGATGAAAGAAATTGTGATTTCATTTTTTGAAAGTTCCTTATATTGAGGTTCGAAATGAGACGTACGAGAGAAAAATGTCTAAGAAACAAGTTTAAATGCTCATCTGTCAGTCTACTTCCGAAGTAATTCTTTCTAAGGTTTTTATATATGTTCTTATATGTGTGAAAAGATGAAGCAAACATAGCAGTGATTTTTTTGGCTATGAGATATTAAATTTGGGAAACTTACTTTGGATAACGATTTGTAAAACTCTAACTTTGGCATATTTAGAAACAACTGCTTGAGATGATTGTTAGATTGCAACTCAATTAATTCAAGCTGGAAATTTGACTTCACTGCTTCACAATTTACGTTGAGAGGCATGGTCAAAATATCCAATTCTGTCTGAATGGCACTGAAATCTTGAAATGCGAAATAGCGGAAAATGTTATATTCTTTGAAGACTGCTATAGCTTCATTGTAGATGAGACACACTGGTTTATCTTTTACAACTGTAAAAAATATTTCCAGGTCCATTCATCATTAAAAGCATGACATTCTGAATCAACTTTACATTTTTAGTAGCCATTTTGAGGTTGAAATGTTTTAGAAATAACCCAAACAAGCACTAGCTATGTTATACTTTTAATAATTTCCCCACTAGTCACAATGATGCTATATAGTCACAATTTATCCATGCACAATAAATAATATGAGAACTCGCGCCAAAAGAAAAAGCTGCTGGCTGGAGCTTAAAATGCGCAGTCTGCCACATGTGAGGTCTAATTCACCTATAGTGGATTCCCATATGTCTGCTCCCCGAAAGAAATAACATTTGTTGGCGCCAATCTACAGCTATAACTAACAAAGAACTTCCGCTAAACACTTTACCGACTGAAAGCTGTCTGTGTTTGCTATTTCCATCGATTTATGTTCTGTAGAACAAAAAATAGAGAAACTAAAAAGATCATCAGTCCTTTGAAAAAAAATTAAACAAAGTAGAAAAGGAGATGAATACATAATATATAAATATATACTTCTTTTAATTTGCCCCTGAGTGGCAAATTAAAATTCTATCGATGGCTAGATAGAACCTTCCGGTGAACTGGAGTTGGCCCATGGGACGTAGTTTGCCCATCTCTGTCTTAGGTGTTCCTTAATGTATTAAGCACACAATGGCTATTAGGAATATCACTGAACAGATTACTAAATTGTACGTAGAAGTTTCCAGATTGCAAGTTAATTTTTTTAACATCCTTTTAAAGAAAATATCACCCTTTAGCAAATTATGTTGCTATCTTTCTGAATATCCCCAAATTTTTTTAATGTTGGTATTCTTTCACTGCATATAATTTACTCATTACAATTTACGGCATTTATACAAGCATGAAAAAATACTAATACAGTCAAAAGTCGTTAATTCGGACACCCATAATCCGGAATGATCTATAATCCAGACCTCAAAGCTACAAAATTCGCCTGTGCAAAAATGCCCTACAAAACTTTACTCGCCTGTGCAAAAACGCCCTACAAAACAAAACGCCCTACAAAAACGCCTGTGCGCATGCGTCGCCTTCACGCATGCGCACAGGCGTTTACGAGTGCGCGT